TTCAATATTTTAGCCAAGAGACCGTGTTTTGAGCAAGACGCTAAAAAAGTTTTAGAAATGGGTTGTTCATGCAAATCCAGAACAAATCATATTACAATGGTGGTTTTTTTTAAAATTTATTCCAGTGGATCGTTTTAAAGTACTTAATAGATGAAGGTAGCTAACGCCGTCTGACATCCTGGTTAATATAAAAATGTTCTTTTTCATGGTAAATCAAGTAGCAATGTAGTTTTCCAGAATTGAGAAAATTTGCAAAACGACGAAAATTTCTTCGAAAATATGGTAGCGAAGTCAAAGTTTGATCTAATATAAGTCTTTCACAATCTGGTCATTTTTCAAAAAGCTATATATATACTGAAAGAAGAAGCTTTGCTGCATCTTCCTATGATAAAAACTCAATATCGATACTTTAATGTCTACAAAAGCAGAAAAGAAATAGTTCTTGTACTTCACGATTGACATCCCTGTTGGGACTGTGAATCAGTTCTCCTTTCTTATGAGTTATGTGAAGCTTAGTGTGTCCTTCTTTCATAGCAAAAGAATGCTACCGTTGAAGAATGAGGCCAGTTTTCCCTTGGCCTACATCATTAAGCTTGGATTTCGCAGTTTTACATTCAATACTGTCGAAAAAATTAAATCTAATAAATAATCTAATTGACAAGCGCAACATCTGATATATGCTTAGCTAAAAATGCAACTTTCCTTGAGATAAAAATAATTTGTGATGACGATTTGATTGTCACATTGAATTAGGTACCTGAAATCTTGTACGCTTGTCTTCATCCATACTATTTTTTTTGCTGAACTACTCTTCTACTCATTTATCGAGTTTTGTTTTTAAAACGATGTCAAACTCAAGCAATGACTCTATAGTTCTGAATTCAGATTCTTTACTGGAATTCAGAATTCCTCATTATATTCGATTTTGGTATTTCCTCATTTTTGACATATTATCAATTGTGGTCACTTTGTTTACACTTTACTATCTTCTTTCGGATAGAGCACTTCATCATGCACTTCATAATCATATTGTCATCGCTATTCTCTTACTTGTTCTTGTATACGAATTGACCAATATTCTCTTCTTTCTTCGCAATGATTACCATTCAACTTCTTGGTCAGCATCTCCTGTCTTCTATCTGTTTTGAGCTTTCCTCGACTACTCATGCTATTCATTTCAAATAGCTTTGTTTACTTGGGCCACAATTGAAAGACATATACTTATATTTCATGAGCAATGGATAGCAACAAGAAGACATCGTTTCTTGATTCACTATTTACCACCATATATCATTATAATTTATTATTTTGTTTATTACTGTATTGTCTATTATGAAAAGCCTTGTGGAACTCCATTCGATAGTTTCTTAGCCGGAGATGTATATATATTCCGTGTGCATTCGATCGAACTGTATTAGCCACATGGGATCTTATGTTTCATCAAGTTGTTTCAACTCTTCTCATTATGATCGGTTGTATGGCTCTAGTTATTCGTGTAGTATTGCAGAAAATTCGTGCTTGTCAACCACTTCATTGGTGAAAACATCGAAAGATGATTCTGCAACTGCTCATCATTTCATCTGTCTACATTTTATTCTATCTGCCTTGGGTTAGTGTTATTTTTGCTTATCAATGTGGTTTGCCAGCAGAACTTGCTGTAGTGGGCATCATTTTCAGCAAATTTATCATATATAATAGAATCTCTTCCTGTCCATTTGTATGTTTCTCATCACTGCCGGAACTACGTAGTAAGTTCAAAAATCAGCTTACATCCTGGCGACAACAACGACGGGTTGGTCAAACCACATGGTCACGACTCACTAAAATCTTAGAACAACAGTCGCATGTATGCATCAATCTACTGTGAAATGATAACAGACTTTTCGTTATTGACTAAAATTCATTCTTGACATGAATATATTTCGTTTTTTTTTCACACGTCTCAACTAGAGAAACGCTTTATTATCTACTTGCTTGTGTTGTCATGCATTTGTATTGTTCTAACCTTTCCTAATTGTATCATGTCTTCTCATATACAGTGAACATTCTGCAATGCTTAAATATGCTCGTACAAATTTTTGCTTTTGTTATCTTAGCTTTATTATTGTTTGTGGATAAATTAACTTATCTATTATAGATCAAAATGCAAAAATCAGATTCGATTCGATCTCTATGAAACATCATGGGACATCCACATATTGCGTTTCCACTTCTATTATTGCTTTCTAAATAGATTAGTCTGATTGAAATAATTATTTCGTCCTGGTTGCACTTAATAATTAAGAACACATAACCTTGATGGTCATTAGAATATCGACAATAATATAAAGCGGGGACACCAGAGATGACCATAGAATAACTTTTTTTTTCTTCTGCCCTATTCTGCTGAGCGGTGGGATACGATAAAAATTCCCTAGCCGTCTTGTTCAGTATGACAGGGCAGAGCAGGGCATACCAAAACACTAGATAGGAAATACATCACATTTTCTATAATTTTCGATAAAGTGAAGCATATATTTGACCACTCAGCCATCTTATAATAAATTTATTTCATAATTTTCTCAAGCATCAGAATCCTATATCTGAATAAAGATAACTCAAGAAATAAAAAAAATCATTCTAAGTTACTATTTATATAGTACACACATATCGAAAAAAAAATACATATTCAATAATACGCGAAAAGAAAATGTTTCATCATCATTAGTATATAGTAGGTTGTGTTGATTGTGATGATGTTTCCAATTCCTCAATTTTCATAGAAAATAGTGAAGCAGAAAAGATTTTTGCAGAATATAGGAAAGTTTGGTTACATTTGAAGTAGCTTACATATCCAAAAATCGTTTTATATTCACTATTTTCATCTAGTTTAGTTGAAAATTCAAAAATATCCCACTAAGATGATAATACTCTTCATGCTTATGTATTTTTCATTTTCTGTGAAAAATATAACTGTATTTCACTGAGTTTACAGACTCTTCAGGCGCAGAAGATAGGTCTAGTAAACTCACGTATGATTTTGCTGAAAATCTGGTAGAGATATGAAAAAAACAATAAATGTAAACTAAAACTCAACTCGAGCACCAATGAACAAGTCGCAATCTGCAGTTTTGTTCATGCTTGTCTTATCTTACGTTTCTCATTTGAAATTCTTGTCGAACGATGCTAGAAATAGCACGCATTATCATCATAAAGGTGACACTCATCATTTTTAGTTGGTATAAGGTGTAATCGATGATGATAAATATAATAAAAATTGTAAAAGAAAAAGTTTTTGTGACGCAAAAGATCATTATGTCACATCCATCTTCTCCTGCTGATCGGCAATACAGAACAGGATACATGAAGGGTGTGGGTGTGAGTGTGAGGTGTGGGGTGTAAGTGCTAATGAAGTGGCATTCCAACCCCACATTCACCCACACCCACACCCACACCCTCTTCTTTTCTTATTTGTGTATTAATGAATAGTTAGAAGTTCGTAATAGTTTGAGCAAATGTTCCTAACAGAGACGAAGTAAGGGCGATTTATGTCATTCGACTGAGTGTACACTAATTCGATATTAAATCGTAAATATTTTTATAACAAACGAATTTCTGGAAATGTGCTGTTTCAAATAATATGATAGCGGGGTTACGCTACAAAGTACTCGAGAAATTATTGACATACGATAACCTTTTCTTTGTGTTGTTGTTAAAGACAAGCTTTTTTTGGAATGATTTTCTGTTTTCATCCTTTAAGTTGGATATCTCAACACAAGCAAAACTCACTTCTCATGTGTCTTTAAATTACGACAGAACATGATATAATAAATCCAAAACGCCGCAAGGTCTCTGTTATATTCCTGACTAGAAATACTAAGGTCCTCTATTGTTCACCATACATAAAAATCCATTAAAAAAATAAAATGTATAAGTACAAAAAATAACTCAAAGCGCAGTTTCTATCGATGAGTACTGTAATTATTCGTATATTCCAGTTATTTTCACTATACAGAAGCATCCCAAACAGTATTATTCAATTCACACGTCACATAGCGTATGATCGTTTACCACATGTTTAGCGCGATCATATTCTTTCAATAGATGGTTAGCGACGCTTACGTCACATTACTTGTGCTTAAAGAAAAAGAACTTTCATTTATTTAGAAGGCAACCAAAATCTTGAAATTCTGAAATGAAGTGAAAGTAAGAATTTCATTTAGAAACAATTATAATTTATTTTTAATGATTGTTAAAACATTTGTGATTTTGAAGTAAAAACAGAAACAAAAATAATACTTTAAAAATGATTACATGAGTCTCTTTGAGAGTATTAAAATGACGATTAATAAGATTTTCAATCGTATTGATAATTTGTTCTTCCGAACACATATCAAACTAAATTCTTTTAGCGTTTTCAAGCATGTGAGGCAAATTGGTTGTGAAAACGCTGATAATATCGACCCTATAAACACGTACCAACAAAAAAAAAGAATGAAAAATATAGTTGTACATATGTACACGTTTACAGTAAAAATCATTTTAACGGATATACGGTATTTTCTTTTCATAAACGTTGATGCTCTCAAAAAAGCTTTTTTTTGACTGCATACACACATGTGCTAAAATTAGTTTCTCCTTTGATAAACCTGTAAAGATAATTATACGGATGCACTCATGCCTGCATAAGAACTACAAATTAAAATTAAAATTAATGCATAATATCCTACGTTTCAATAGAACGATAAATTCATCTATAATTAGAATGAATACAAAGAAAAAGAAATCAAACGGAATGAGAATCAATTAAAACATGATTAGTGGGCACATAGTAAAAGTTAAATACAAATAATAGTGTACGTCGTAAAGAGCTTTTCTTAAGTAAAAAAAAAAACAAAAAGATGAAATAATGCTTCTTGTTTAGTTTTTCTTCTTGTCATTCTCATCTTATATTCATTAGAAATAAATTGTAAAAATAAATAGAAAGGATCATAATTCTTCATTCATATTGCCTTATTCAAATGGAGACAGATACCTTTTTTTCAAAATATAGCTCTTCTGTCAATGAACGTGCTTCAATAGAATCATTATATCCAGAAGTATCTTTACCTCGACCAGTTCGATTTTGGCTTCTTCTTTTTCTTTTAATACCATCTGCCTTCTGCTCCCTCGTACTTATCTATTATTTAATCGTAAATCGAAATCTACGAAATTCATTGAACAATCATGTTATTATCGTTCTTCTTATCGTGAATTTTCATGCTCTAATCATTGGCTTTCCTATACAGCTCAATTTTCTACGCTTGGGACATGTATGGCCTGAAAAACCTATAACATGTCTTGCATGGCAGTTTGCAGATATTGGTATTTTCACTACAACGGGTATTATCATGGCTTGGGCTTCAATTGAACGGCACATTTTGATCTTTCATGATAAGTGGGTAGCCGGACGAAAAAAATGTTTTCTATTTCATTATCTACCTTTGGCTATAATCATAGTCTATGGTCTCATTTTTTATATTTACGTTATTTGTTTTCCGCCTTGTCAGAAGTTATTCGTCTATTCGATCAATTGGTGTACTATTCCATGTTTTACAACCGTACAGAGAATTACAATGTATGGTACAATAACCAATGCTATTTTAATGACGTTTATTATTATGTTCTTCAGTATGTCTCTTATTGTTCGTATTGTTCAACAAAAGAGACAATTATATCGACGTTTTCAATGGCGAAAATTTCGAAGAATGACTATTCAACTTATATCAATCTCGTCACTATTTTTTTTCTTTAGTTTGCCTACAGTAATTATTTCTCTCATTCGAGCTTACGGTGTGCCATACGATGCATTTGGGCAATTTCCATTATACCTTGCTTTTACGCGATATTTTCTTCCTCTTCTATTGCCTTTTGTCTGTCTTGGTTCATTTCCTGAAATTTCAACAAAATTGAAAAGATTAATAATATTTCAACAACACACCAATGTCATTAACGTTGCACCAGCATCTCTCTGACTGCGTTCTACATTGCATGCTTGAAATATTTCAATTAATCAGTGAACAGTGTAAAAGCACTCCTTCTCTCTCTTCACTTCCTAATCAAGAAATGTCTTTTAATAAACTACTCTTTTGAGTTCAAGAACATATTTTACACACCTTTGATCAATGATGCAAGTTGTTTTCATGATTTATCATTTCAAAGTTTTCAAGATATTAAGTATACTAGATTTTTCAATCTAGTCACAGTTTCTTTTTGGTATTAACAATGCAATCGTACAGATCGAAAAACATGGTATTATTGCAATGCCCAAAACCAATAGGTTCTGAGCTGACAAGAAGAAAAGAAATGAATAATGAATTAACATAGAACATACTATACTAAATCAGAAAAAGTGTAACTATCGTTAGACATGAATGTATTGGTAATCACAGATTGTGAGAATATTTGTTTCATTAGATAAAAATGTCATTCGTAGCTGATATACTCTGTGTTTAATAAGGGGTAATTCATACAAAGATTTTAACTTAGTCAATGCAGATTGATTAATAAAATAAATTATCAAACACAATACGAAGAAAATAGCTGCAAGAGAGAATTTTCTAAAGTTTTGATTTCATTCAAAAACCATTTTCAATACAATATGGCAAAGAATACTGTACGTAAACTGCATCACATCGATCCAATTCACCTATCTCCATTATATTTTGAGTGATTTATTCCGTTATTGAGGATGCTTCAAGTATATCAAGATTGTTTTCGATCTTGCTTAATGATTCCATCAGATGGTTTGTCTTGGTATCTATTCTAATGATCCAAAGATGACAAAAGAAATACATAATCTGCTCCATTATAACAAATTCTATGGTGAGTTTAATTTTAATGACAGGTATCTTTACCTTAAGATATGTTAAGCTTTCCATGAGACGTTCCGACTATCGTTCAAATAGCTATTATCAGGTATGTTTAAAATCTATGAGTACAGTGAGAATAAATACTTAAGCCACCTTTTGCGGTAAGCTATTTTGGTCAGAATGATTTTTTAAAGTCATTCAAATAGTGATCTCTGCAATTCTAAAGTTGAGATGTCAAATTTTTCATAAATTCAGCTATCTAAGATGTTTTCATACTAACAATTTTTCTTCAGCCGACAAAATTTCAAGGCACATCTCATAGTTTATTAATTTTTTGCTATTAGCTAACTGTCTGTGGGTGTAGGTGATTATTGATTCAATGCGCACACTCACGCCCATACTCACACTTATATATCGCTAGCTACAACGGAATAAAGAAAAGAAAAAAGAGCTATTATCATGAAAAACTGGTGTGATGTAGATGGCATCCTTCCATTGACTCTTACCCAGTCAGTCAACAATAGAGAAAAAACTCGTTTTTACGCGTTGAAATGTGCGCTTTTAACGTTTTGTAACGCGTTTTCCAGCAAAAAACGACTTTTAAACGCTTGAGCAACGCATATAAACGCGTTTTTTTCACTTAAAAGACAAAATATCGCGTTTATACATGTTAGAATGTGCGCTTTTACCGTTTTTCGAAGCGTTTTCAAGCGAAAAAAAACGTTAAAATAATGCGTTTAAACGCGTTTTTTTCCGATCTTGACTGCCTGGGTAGGAACCTTCTGGAAATCATGAGAATTTCTATGGAACTGAAATGATTCTTAAGGAGTTCAAGGAAATTCTAGAATATGTAGAATATTTCGGAACTTCAGAATTCCAGGGTTCTGCTATTATTCATCCCTTGACGAAAACTCCTATTGAAGATTCAAAAAAAGTTCGTTTCATCTCAAGGCATGGGTGTCTCTGACAAAGTTCAAACAAATTTTTAGCTATTCGTTGTTCTCTAGATCACAGCGACAGTTTTTTATAGAAAAAAGCACGCAAATTATAAAAGTTGAATATATATGCGGCCGATAACATAAATGCTATGCTTCGTATCGGTTTAATAATGCGACATTTAAGTAGCAACAAGCAGAGACCAATCAATGCCTTGTGCTTAAGCGCCTTTTTCGCTCCTTTGGTTTGTTGTCGATATGATGAATAAGACTAGTATCGCTCTAGGATCCCTAACAAAATGAAAATTGGCATTGATCGATATTATTTGTAATGCTTACCTATTCAAGTGCCCTACCTCATCATTAATTATTCTTTTTCTCGAGCGCATATGCTACAGATTATTTATCAAGAGAAAGTGACGAGTGTAGACATAGAGCAGCGCAAGGAGTATTTTACTTCTACAAAACACATACACATACTCCTTTTCTATTTAATAGTTAATCGAACGAAGACTGAGTAAAATGCGATTTTGGCTTATATTCATTCTCATGATCAGTTTTGCTGACTCTAAGTAAGGAAATTATTCCATCCAACTCATATAAAATATGTTTTTTTCGTAATCCGTTTTAGATTTGAGTCGTCATTCAATCAAAATAAAGATGAACCTTGTAAGCCATTAATAGATGATTGTAAACCTGGTTTGATCTGTCGCCTGTCAGCAACGTGCTTGGTCATTAGTCGTGGAAAGTACATGATGTGTTGTCGATCTTATTAGAGACATGGAAAATGAAACTGCAACGCTTGATACTCTAGAAAAAATTGATTTTTAATTCAATAAACCGAATTTCGTTTCTATTGTCTTCATGAATAGTCACATTTTCATATGTATTTTTTTTTCAATATTTTGAAAATAAACAATCCATATGATTAAGATCAATTCGAATATGACAAATGGTAGTTAATTCATCGAAGTCCCTTATCATGGTGGCTGTAATCTATCAATAGTTGTTGATAACCGAAAAACGTTATGCTTTTCAACGAATAGTTCTACCAGAGAAAACTTCTGTTCCAGACCGCTGTCAATGACTCGAAATAAAAAGAAATAGCCATCATCTGCTTTTCAAGATACGGATAAGACAACGACCAGTTATTAGAATTCAAAACGCAAAACAAAAGAAAAGGGACAAAGAAAATGTTGATGAAATCAATCGTCATATTAGTGCAATGGATTTCAGTCTATTGGTTGTGCATTTCATGTGATACATTTCTTCAATTCGTTGATTTTCTTCGTCTAGTGTTATTCCTGACATTTTTCGATTGAAGCCAAGTGTTTTTTTCATTTTTGTAAAATGCAACTATGAAACCTTGAACATCTATATCTAGATGTGTGGTTGTGCGTGTGGGTTTCGCTGTGAGTAGGGTGTGAGTAGGACTAGGGCATGTGGGTGTATGTATATGCATCGCACCACTTGAAAGAAAAAAACCACACCCACCATATTATAGTATTTAAATCATTATTTCCAACAAATTATCAATCATTACGATATAAATTAGGTGGTTTACTGAATCGACGTATTTTTCCATTTACAGGTCGTCGCGATATGAATTTCAATAATAAACAAATAAATCAAATTTTTAAACATTTTCAACAAGGATTACATAATTGTGATATTATATTGACTTCACCAGAAGATATTCTCTCATTCGATTTACTCACTATTGATAAATGTCGAAAAAATGAATTCAATGTTGGTCGTTCTATGTTAACGATTCAACGATGGTTAAAAAAGTATATTCGTGATGTATTAGATGAATCTGATGAAATTTTACATGTCAAATATCAATTAACTTATACTGTTGGTAGTCAAGAGCAAGTTGATGGACGTACAGAACGTTGGAAAACTATTCAAAAAATTCTTGAATTAGTTAAAAAACATTCTGCTAATATTTCAAAATGTTTCAGCGAAAAAGTTTGTTATAAACCATCTAAACGAAACAGTGCATTTCCGCAATTTCGTTTACAATCGCATGAACCATATGCATTACTTTGTCAAAAAATTTCTAACAACTGAATCGATAGTAGAAATTATCATTACACTGATAAAGCAATCATCTTAACAATTATCCTAGAAACACATTCATCAGTTGAACATCTCATTAATAAATTTACATGTATTGATATTCAATTATTTCTCATTGTTCGTGGTTTATTATCATTAAAATTTTTATTAATTACTTTTAGAAAACGATATCGAGTTAATTATGGTGTCAATCCAAGTCTTTCTTTTAATCGTTTAATGGCTGTACCATTTCCTGCAAAGGATGTTGTCGCTGATAGACCTGAATTTGGTCATCCAGATGTTATCTTAGTATTAACATAACTTTCATATTATTATTCAGGTTTAAATAATTCACAATTATTTCAATGTTTCAATTGTTTAAATGAAGAAGAAACTGATCCGACATCGATTTATGATCAATGGGTATTATATGAAGATGAAAAAGATGTCCCAAAAAGTATTCAACAATGGATTGGAGTTAATTTAAAAGATTATCAACAACGCATTGATCATCTCTTTTCTACTTTCCGATATAATATGATAGTTATTAATTATTTCCGTCATTATTTTGTATTTCCTCGAGAAGCAAAACAATTTCTATATAAATTAGTTACTTCTGCTTGGGATTTATCGTCCTCGTTACGATCAAAAATAATAACTGGATTTAGCGGAACTAATGATACACAATTATTACTTCCTGTTCATATTCGTCAATATGATTTACCAGAACTTCAAAAGACAGATGCAATTGTTGTTAATAATTTATTAAAAAGTAAAAATGAAAATTATCAGTTTCTATACCCATCAATGTAACATCAGAGGATATTTTAAAATAAATAATAGACTGCCAAAAAACTATTCACGTTATTTTAGATGTTGGAACATTATTTATTGATGGAACTAATCGAGACATTGCTGTTAAGTGGTTGAATCAATCTGATAAAAATAAGATCGATTATATTGTTTATTTTGATTTCGATTCTATTATTGCCTGTGATCGTCAATTGCATCTTTATGCATTAGTAACATTTCCTGCGAGTGAACTATTAGATCGTTGTATATTTTATTCAGATGATAGTTCATACCCGAGGAACTGATTTTAAATTTCCAATGGGATTTAAAGTTGCTATTACATTAGGAAATGGTTTAACAAAAGATCGTTTTGTTCAAGCACGTATGAGAATGAGAAAATTAGGTAATGGTCATTCGTTAATATTCTGGAGTTCATATGAAGTTCACGAACAAATAAAAACATTAAAAACCACAATCTCGGAATAAAAATGACTTTATTAAGTAGATTGATATTCTTCGTTGAGTCTATGAAAACACTCAACAATCAACTTGGGATGGTTTACATCATTGGGTTACACACAGTTTAAATTTTCAAAGAAAAATTTCTGCATTTCGACGTATCAATTGGAATAATGATCAACAAATATTTACAGATATACTTATGCAAGACTTAGCTAAAGAATGTTCTGAACCTGAAATAATTGAACTTAAAAGTATGTATGGGTCTTCGAAAAAACTTCAAACATTATTCGAAATTCATCATAATCGATATGAACAAACTCATCATAATGTATCGAAAGAAATTAAAGATACCGTATTACGACGATTAAAATATTATGGTGAAACAAATCAACGTTTATTACAATTATTAGATGAAGAGCAACAAAGAGAATTAGAGCAAGAATTAGAAGAAGAAGAACGTCAATTAGAGCGTCCATCACTTGTTACACCGTGTCAATCTAGACTTCATGAAGAAATAAAACAATTGTGTGATATGCATAGTCCTATGATGAATTTAAAACAACATCCTAAAGTATTTCGTCATTTATCTTATGCTTTTACTGGTACGACATTTGTCAATGATTGCCAAGCTAATAGTTGGCAAGAAAATTTTTGGATTTCAACTGAATTTCAACGTGTAATTACGACTAAAGGAGAATTATTAAATTCATTTTTACTTTCTCCACGATGGATTATTATCTACCGGAATCGACATTTAATTTTTCTAAGTGCTTTAGAAGCTAATTGGGTACTCGGCCGTTTAAGGCTTCTTTATTATCAACAACAATCGAATAATCTGTCGATCATAACATTACATTTATTATTACCTCGTATCAAACGAGTTCAATCGATTTTTGTTAACACGTCAAGTCTTACAATTCCTCCATTAATTAGACATCTTAATGATGCTGTTTCTTTCTTCCTACCACTCGAATGGTTAGTTCAATTATTTATTTTTAACGGTACTATTTATTTTGAAACAGTTGATGAACAAATAGCTTATTGTCAATGTTTAAGTTTATGTCCGAAATCTCGAACGGTGGAAGAAGAAGAAGCATTTAAAAATGGTTGGATTGCTGTTGATGGCTTTGTTAGTAATATTGAACATTGTCATTATTTGAAAATGCATAAAGTTCGATTCCATCGTAATTTACTAATCTTTGTCAAACAAAAGATTGAAAATCGAAATAATTTACATGCACCTATAACATCACATGTTGGTAGTATTATTCTTAATTCACTTAAACTAATTTAATCATGCGAAGATTGAACATATTATAAAAATATTTAATTCAGAGAAGAATATTTTTTTTCATAATTTAAATGAAATCCTATTAACTGAAAGAAACAAACACAATAAATCATAAAACACAACTCATTCAATGATAGTCTATTTCTTCCGACTTGTAATGAGTGTAAAATATGAAAGTACTACGAGTCGAGTCGTATGGGACAAATGACTAAAATCCATACAGGCTTTATTCTATACATTGTTGAAAAAAAGATATGGTGATGAATCAAAATTCTTTTTCAATTACTAAAAGATCAACATGGATTATTTGTGTGATCGAATTTTCTAACAATCTAATCTATATTTCTCCCGTATCTGATTGTTATTATATTTTACGCAAAACCTAAAGAACAGAAATATTTTAATAACGGATTTTTTAATTTAAATTTTTACTCATATAATGGATTTTCTTTTTTAGTTCTCTATTGGTTGAACGAATAAAACTATTTTGGAATAAGTGATATTTTCTAATGAAGCTTAGACTTAAACATTTAGATACATTGTCCAAAGAAAAGAATGGCTTAGATGGCGTAAATTTTGTTCGATATCTTATTTAACATTCAAACGATCAGTTTTTCTGTATAAAATCAACTAAAAACTACAATCGTTCCCTATGTTAAGCATTTAAAAAATCAAATTATTTTTTCTATCTAGTAGCGATATATTGCCCTTGAATATTTTGTATATGATAAACAGTGAATCGAACCGATTTTCATTAGTTCAAGCTCGGTTCGAATCGACTCGAACCGAACCAAACTGTAATAGTTTGATTCGACTCAGTATGTTCTCTGATCTAATATAACCGATCAATTGCCGTTTGATAATCGCCCACAGCGTCACAACTTCACAAACAAGTTTATAGCTCAATTAATTATGTTTCTGATAGGTTATGGATGTGGGTGTGGTTGTGCATGAACGAGAGCTATGGATCCACACCCATCCCATTTTCAAATGTCCTTTCAGTAAAAGGGTGTGACTGTGGATGGATGCTGCTTATCTTTTCACCCACCCACACTCACACCCTCATGTAAAGTGAGTAAGTCTAATGCTTTATTTCAAATACATGATAAACTAAGATATTTTTTTGACATGATTCGTGACAAAAAGAAAACTTAGATACTAGTGGATAGAGAATTTATCTGGATTTGGAGAGATTAGTGACATTTATGTTATGAAGGGTGTGGGTATGGATGTGTATATGGGTGCGGATATTGATCTAGCTGATAGAAGAACAAGACCTGGACCTACAAACACACCATACACCCACATCAACCCACACCCTCGAGTGATGTAATCACATAGCACAGTGAAGGTCGCTACAGTCAGTGCAATGTCTTGATTTCATCATTTTTTCGCGTTTACAATAGCGAAGTGCTTGGTAGTATGATGTAATCGTATATTTGGTTTTAACCGAGATAAGATAAAAGATGTAAAAGAAACATAAGAGTCTAACAATACTTTCTTAGATAATATATTTTGATAACTCTTCCCGAATTTCATAAGCAAACCGTAATAAATAACGTTTTTGTATACTGTAGTCAGAATTTTATTGCAAAATGATGAACCGGGAAACAAAACAGTAAGAACATGAAATTTGCATGAATAGATATGTATTTTGGAGGTGCTGTCAAATTTTCTGTTCCCTTTTGTTAAATACTATTTACAATACCTGGAGAAACGAAGCGTCGAGTTTTTTCCTTCTCGCATGACTCCTTTGCCAGCGTATGCTGAACACATTGGGTGTGGGTGTGGTGTCGTCCAAAAGATGGCCAACAGCCGACGGGAAAAAAGTGGATTTTAAGATTTCAAAATGTTTCAAAGATTTGAGAAGATTTTGGACGTCAAAATCTGCTTTATTCCCCTTGCCAACATTCACATTCAAACCGTAGTTCATACCAACTGTCAACATTTAGATATATGCTCTGAAAATTTAATTTTATTTCTCTTGTAAAGAATACTCATTTCTATAATCGGATTATTTTGAATTTTAACAACGACTGCTCTTCTGTATTCAACAATATTCCTGAATACAATCTAATAATAGAAACAAATTCATTTTTACTGTAGAGACTGGAATTAGAGTGGATGTGAGTCTTAGTCTTGTTTTCAACCACATTCACATGCACATATGCATTGCAAAATAGCTCATATTACTTTTGTTTAGACAGTGTAAGAGTGACGATAGCTATGAATTATGTTGCATAATGTTGAAATGCCTCTATTTTATTGAGAAAATTGCAAAAGTAGTACATCGAAATAATTTCTAGTTTCTGTTGCAAAATGCATGAGATAAACTTTATGATTATTTTTCAGTCAAACTGAGATATATAGGGAAAATAACTTTTTGTCTCACTTTTTCATTACGAACTCCGGTTGAAATAGTCCGTTACAATCTCCGGACATAAGAAAAAAGACAGGGTGTTCAGAATAGAGTTCTTAATGGCAAAAGTCAATGAAGTATAAGCAAAAATAGAATGTTCGGAATGAACTGTGTCCAGAAGTTCGAAACAAACTCTGACAACCCATTGTTAGTCGTTGAATAGCGAATTTTGGACTGGAGATCGAAATGAGAGAGTTCGAAATGACAAAGATAGAGTGATGGTAATGAAAGTTGCAGGTTGTTCAAAATGAAAAAGGCAGCATTTTCGTGGCTATGTTGAGGTTTACTGACCTTTGGGAGAATGTGAAGTGACATACTCCTCTTACAGTCTAAGATGGTGCATAAAGAACGTCTCGATGAATTCAAGCAACCAAGATTGCTCTTCTTTTTACCATTCTAATTCTACTGTTAGTTTTTATTCTCATCATTTTTTACATACTCTTCGTTATAAATACCAAGTTTTTGGAAAGAAAAGAAAGAAATATTTATTCGTAACTCTAGTGTGAATATACATCATCATCATTATATTTCCTTTCTCCAACAGCTAAGAACAACTACAACAAATAGTCGCATTTTATGAAAATCGTAGCGATTTTTGCAATTTTCAACTAAACCGGCGTAAACTCATGATTACTTGCGTTTCATGAAAAAATCAGTGATTATATCAAACTTTATTCCGATTCTGATGTAAGAAACGATTTTTCGAAAAATCACTGATGAATCAGAGCGATAAATCATCGCATGTAACCACTGATTTTAGTAGCTCATTAAGAATTGAAACTTAATTAGAGAAATTTTCGAAAATTTATGAAATTCAGAGATACATATAATATCTGCATATTGTTCAACAATAAATCTAGGCATTATAGACTAAAAGACAGGCTTAATTTCGGCATGAATGTCATTACTAGGACATTCTTCTTCAATTGCAGATGAATCGATCAATTCTAGATTAATGTGAAATTGAAAAAATTGTGTTTATTCCTTAAGATGATGTCGTCTATTTTCATTGTGTTTCGTTCTGCTTTTTAATTATCCTTTCTATTCGATTCTCCGTTTTAAATATTAAATTTATTTAAAAAATGAATCTTTCGAGTGATTTCAGAGAAATGCTCAAATCAAAACATCAATTCGTACGCATGAACGTTTTTTTACGATTTTTTTTTTGTTTTTTATTCGATTTTCTCATTTGACTATGAGAAATTGTATGCGGTACTAGTATTTTTCATTTGTATTACATGTTTTATTCGTTTAGAATAATTTAAACTGAATTTTTTAATAAAATATTCCTTAATATAAATCAGTAATAGGAACTTATTAGTATAATAGCAAAGATCAAAATTACTTCTATCATCGATATAGTGAGGCATAATAATCGCCCATACAATCACGATTTATCACTAAAATCTTCAGAAGAATGGGGAAAAATCGGTGATGTATTGCATTTCAGCTCACAATTATCCTTTCAATTTATCGTGATTAATCGCCATTTTGTTCAGGATTTTGAGGACATGGGGTTGTTCTTTAAGAATAACTGCAAAATACGCTCCCTTCTTCATGAAAGACTACTTTTGAAGCGTACGCTCTTCATATCATTACGACGATGCAGCTTGATTCATCTTCACTACTGAATCAGTTGTATCACCAATTATATTTGAACAAAGAGACTTTATTACTTACATTATATCGTGTTGCATTTCGACAGAGACCATTATGATATATCAGTATTATGAACAGATTAAAAAACGAAAATTAGAAACAACCATTATAGTTACTAAAGTATAGAGAACGGTGATAGAGAAAGAAAACCGCCTATCCATAAAATTATGAATATACTAAGTAAATCTCCTAGTGAATTCTTTTACGAACTCTCTCTCTCTCAATGTCATTCCATTCTTTTGGCTTTTTTTTCCCGTAAAAAGTACTCTTAAACATACATTCCAAGCATCCGACCTTGTTCATTATGATCTCCGGTCGCTACATCAGATATAGCAAGGAACATTCTATTCTGAACAGCCAGTCAAACCATTTCGATTTTCCTGCTTTTTCTATTACGATCTCCTGTGCATATATGTTTATGGACTTCGGTCATAAATCTTTAAGGACAAAAATTCATTTCCGAACATCCAGACGCATGTTCGGACTTCGAAAGGGAGTAAGATAGAAAGTCAGTCAATCGGTACAGAAACGCGTTAGTGTTCAAATGTCAGTATGAAAAACGTTTCATTGTCGCTGTAAATATTTATGACATGCTAGCAAAAGGAGAAGCTTTTTTTTCCTCACATTATATATAAATGAGTCATTCTTGTGTAATCACCGACATCGATACCAGAAAGAGAAACGATGAAAAACAGTGTCATACGATCTTATCGTCTCAAATATTTACATTTGATTTCAAACACATGTGTGCTTTATAAAATAACAATAACAACAAAAGAAAAATGTTACTACTAACAATCATTGTTGGTCTGCTATTTCTAATAATCGTGTATGTTTATCTCAAAAATGTGTACTTTACCTTACGTGGATCATTACCTGGTATGGCACCACAATTTCTCTTCGGCAATTTGCAACAAACGGGAGT